TCTACCTGTCATCCCTCTACAATGCAAAAGCATGCACTTGTCGTCCCTCCGTCCAATTAAACTAATGGTTCTGTTTATTGACCGTTAAGTGCAAATGGTCACACCCGGTTAGGCCTTTTTTTATTTTTTTTTTTGCCACCTTGTCTTGTGGGCCCATCATCATCTTCATCATCATAACCATCACCACGATCCGTCTCTGCCTCCATCTCCACTTCCACAACCCCGACGACGACGTCGTCGCCCACCACCACTCTCGCCCTGATCAAACCCTCACCCTGGATCCCATTCCCTACTGGTCCCATGAATTCCATTTCTTCTCCTCCGATCCCGATGAATTCTCATTTCTGAATGCGCCCGTCGTCGACAACGGCCTTGATCTCCTTGATGACCGGGGGAACTAAGTCAATTTCATCATCGATCTCCCGCCCCAGCGTGTCGAGCAATCCCAGGTATTGATTTGGTCTATTTCCAATGGTACCACTAGCAATCAAAAGAATAACCTGTTGATTTGGTCCCCGATGCATTGACTGATCTGGGTTTCGATGTTATTGATGGAACCCATGAATTGGATATGGATGATTTGGAGTTAGATTTAGGGTTAGGGTTTGGTTCTGTAGAGACACACTATGGTAATTTTGTTTTTGTTGTTGAAACTATTGGTGGCAGTGATGTTGAGGTAGATGTTGGTGGTGATGATAATGATTTCCCTGTGGAGAGGAGGGTTTCAGGTTTGGCTTCCAGCGGGGCTGCCTCCATTGTTGGTGGGGTTGAAGTCAAACTTGAACCCCATAGGGAAAGTGTTAGGCTGGTTGGCTTTGAGTCAGATTTAGAGGACGATGACAATGGGGCTTTGGCTGTAGATTTGAATTCAGGTGATGAGTATGGTATGGATCATGTTGATGGTTATTATGAGGATGAGATACTGAGAGATACAGTAGGGATTTTTTTTTATTTTTTTTTTCAATTTCTTTGTGACAGTTTCCCCTTTCTTTGTGACAGTTTCCCCTTTCTTTGTATTCTATTTGATTTTAAATGAAATTATTTGCATCTTCAACCTCCTGTTTTTTTTTAGAAAGAAAATTGTAAAGAATGATAAGGGAATCCATTGATTTTGAATGAAATATTTTGCATCCGCACAAATAATGACTGGTGTTCTATTTGGATAAATTTGAAATTTTGGTGCATTCTCAAATGAATAGAAATGGGTTAAATAAAAATATGAATTTATCATTTTTTTATTGAAATAAATTTTTTGAATTTTTAAATTAATTAGTAAACTTTTACTTTTTAAATTTTTTGAATTTTTAAATTAAACAAAAAAAATTAATCCCAACTGAATATATTAGTAAACTATACATCTGAGTATCTCACGACATTATCTAAAATTTCTTTGATTTTTGAAGTATATAATGGTAAATTTTCACTTTTTTAATTTAAATACATAAATATTATCTTTTTTTATTAAAATTATTATTTGTTACGTTATCATTATTTCTAATAAATCTTAAAAAAAATAAAAAAGATTGTAAAATTTTATATTATCATTTGAAAAAAAAAGGAAATTTACTTTTTAATTTAATAATCTGAAAAGTTTGTATTTTTAAACTGATTAATAATAAAATTATTATCTTTATTTATCCATTATCTTATCAAAATGATGGGATTTTCATATATGAAAATTAAAAATTGTAAATTCCATAGTTACCGCGAATACATGTTAGGGAGGCAACGGTAAGGCAAAAAAGTTCTGTTAGAGATGATGTGGTAAGGTGGGTCCCACAAGGTATGGTGAAAAAAAAATATTAGAAAGGCCTAACCGGTGTTGTCTCACACTTAACAGTCAATATCGTCACACTAAATAGTCAATAAAGAGCACCGTACCTTACAGTGGATGGAGGGACGACAAGTGCATGCTTTTGCATTGTAGAGGGATGACAGGTAGAGTTAATTGATAGTAAAGGGACGACATGAAGCCAATCCATAGTAGAAGGTTTAGAATGCACTATTTTAAATAGTAGAGGGACGATAGATAGCCTTAACCCCCCTTCCTAATAATAGACCTAGCAAAAAGGTCAAGCCAAGTAATTGGGTGGTTTCGAGTTGATCGCTACAGTTCTCATGTTTATTGTGTTTACTGGGTTAGATCATTTTAAGTTTCGAGTAAGAGTAGCTAAACCTTTGACCTATCTATGCCCATTCGGGCTTGGATTGGGTTGGAGGACCCAACCTTTTAAAAAACTAATTAAGATTAGGATTAAAAATTTCAAATTTTTTATGATTTTCCTAAAAAAAACTCTAATATTAATTAATTATTTGGTAAAAAAATCTATTAAACTAATGTTAATTATAAAATAATTTAATAAATAATAATTTTA